TGAAAGGACTTATGTCGCTAAAGTTTCGTCGGAACGAAGTTACGGAAAATCAATTAACAAACGGAGACGTAACAATATATATAGTTCTCTTTTCTTAACAAAAGTCCACTTAGACCTATTCAGTTGATTTAAAATTTTAATTGAGAAGCCAAACTACATTCCTCTATTTCTATTGCACTAGTATTCCATGTATAATTCACTTACAATTATAGCGTGAGTTACCACAATCCTACACTGCTCTTCCAGTAATTGTCTGTTCCTTTTATCAAAGTGCACTCAGGCTGGTTCAATTACTTTGGAACTCGCTTTGACGGAATATACTATACTTCTTATCTCTTTTAAAACTGTTAGTTTTCCTTTAACATATTAATCATTAGGTCTTTCACTCCTACGGCAGTTAACTTTACGTTTAACTTTCCTTGGTCGAACTTCTACTTCTCTTGCCTTCACTTTCTCGTCTGCTGTTTCCGCTCGTCTCACACTATTTATATGTTTATCACTTAATCGTCTACCTGCCTTCTATAAATCTTTATATTCTTGACCTCAATAGCCTCAACATCAAAGAATTATAAATACAACTTTCTTATTATAAAAAAGAAAAACTAAATAATCATGAAATATTAACTCCTAAAATAATTAGTTAATACTACCTACGCTAAATAGTCTTTTATATCATGACATCCTCCTTCAGCATTTCTACAAGCTAACATTTGTATACTGCCGTAAATAGCTATAGGTCTACCTTACAAATGACGCTAACTAACTTAAAACAAATTAACTTGCGTGAACAAAGTAACATAAAGGCTAACACACTGACTGTTTCTCTATCTTGAAATCACTCCCCACACTTCGCAACTATATTGTATTTTTAATCTAGCTGTGAACATATTAGAAAAACTTGGTGTCACATCTTTAGAACTTTCCAAGTGTTCTACGCCCTTTAGCCAATAAATTACAAGAGAAGGAATCCTCAATAGCCGCTGCACTTAAAATTCTTTTAGGCAGGATTAGAGTAAATTAATCTATGAGACCTTGGGCGTAACAAAATACACCAATCGAAAGGGTTTGACCTCCTGAGTCCAAAACTATGATTATATCTCAAATCGGTCAAGAGATTACTGAGCTATGAGCTAAACGATTTTACTTGATAAAAAACAAAAATAACCTCATCGCTATTCTATGAGCCGCGGCTAAAATTAAAAATATAGCTCACAACATCCAACTGCGACCGAGACTTGTTGACTAAAACTTGAGTTAGCAAAGCAGTATTATGAAAACTAGCGAACCCGTGGGCTTATGACCCTTATTTAAAGGGCCCCTATAAAGCAAATTGAATTTCTTTAACTAAGTTACGAACGGTAATAGTAGGCCTAGTTAATTACGTGCTACAATGTAATTCAAAGCCAAATTTGGGGGCCGCTTTCAGGAAATCCCCGTAAAATTGTTTTCGGGAAATCCCTGGGTTCCCAAGGGATGGGGTGAACAATTTTTCCTTGGTTTAAACCACGGGACCGAGATGATTTGTTCCATACAACTTAGAAGTCTGTGCAACCAGGAGGAGTTACGTGGCACAGACACTAAATTTTATTAAATTGATATAAATTTCGTTAAAAATGAAAATAAAATATTTTAAACAATGTTTAGAGTTATTTTAGCCAACAGTAAATAAAAGTTAACAAGATATCTTTAACAATATTTCCTAGCATTTGTTTCATGTCTGCGAAATTTGTGACCTATTTATATGATCTGTAATTGCGTGTAGCGATTGCATATCCACCTAGCGCTAGTTTTATAAAAAAAACCAGCGAAAGTACCGGGCTTCGCTCGGAATATCAGGTTGATATACTCTAGATGTTTATGTCATTTTAGCATAAAAGTATAACCTATATACTTTTGTTGCTAAGCAACATCACATAAAAGCCATTGTTGGGACGCGTTGTTACCACAACGCACAGGCTTTTCTATATATCAGAAGTTCTATATAAGGAACCATTTCTTGCCTATGTGGTTTTTCGCTAGTTTGCCTCATTAAAAAGAATTTACCGACATTTGACTGCCTTGACTGCACTTTTCTGTCTCTTTGTTGGTCAAGCTTGATTTCGCAAAATTTATTTCAGTTAGCTATGAAATGTGAGGTTAGGGTAGGGGTGGTAGTACTTGCCCCTTCATTTTTGTCAGGTTATACGCTAGTCTTATAATAGTTAAAACTACCTTATTACATCCCTTAATCCCCGTCACACCAAACATGCTCGCCCTTTCAGCCGTGGGGGCGTTATAATGTGATGGTCAATCCCACTATTCGTTGGTAAAAGAGTAGCCGAAGAGTTGGCGGTGATGACTAGCTGCCTTCCTTCTAGTCTTACACTGCTAAATTAGGGACGGTTAGCGCAGATAGCCCTCGTGTAGCTTTGCGTGAAATTAAAAACAACAACAACAAACAAACATCCCTTAATAGTTAAAACACTCTATAAAATCCTATAACGGGTAAAAAACTACTGGATAACAGCCTGTAATAGTTAAAACATTGTATAACATACCATACTCGATATATAGTGTTGATCATTATAAAGAAAAAGAGCGTGAAAGTATTCACCTAAGTATAGCATCGCATTTTCTCCTTCTTTATTGGTCAAGCTTGATTTCACAAAATGTATTTATTTTAGTTAGCTATGAAATGTAAGGGTTATGGTACACTATTGGGTGGGGTGGTAGTACTTTCCACGCCATTTTTGATGGGCTATGTGCTAGTAATAGTTAAAAACCACTATAACATCCCATAATAGTTCAAAAACCACGATAACATAGAAGCTAGAAAACACTCTATAACATCCCATAATAGTTCAAAAACCATTGTAACATAATAGTTAGAAAACACTCTATAACATCCCATAATAGTTAACAACTACTGCATAACATTCCATAATAGATTTAAAAACACTATAACATCCCATAATAGTTAAAACACTCTGACATTCCATGGCGGACACATTTTTTTCTATGTAGTTTTTTGCATAAAAAGATGTGCATGTGCGCACGCACGTAGATAAGTAATAATACCCAGGTGCACACCCTCAGGGTCCACTTAGTATGGGTGCAAAATTTCAGGTTTCCAGGTTCTTTGCTCTTGGAGTTATGGCGGTCACATATTATTTTCTATTTGGTTTTCGCTAGCTTGTCTCATTAAAAAAGATGCGCACACACATGCGCGTACTCACGCATATCGCACAAGCGCGCACGTGAGTCTCTGTCTGTTGCTATGTTATTTCTATTTGTAATATAAGAAACTACTTCTTTTCTATATGGGTTTTCGCTAGCTTGCCTCATTTAAAAGATGCGCACTCACATGGATAAGATAAGTAATACCCAGGCGCACCCCCCCCCCCCTCAGGGTCTACTTAGTATGGGTGCAAATTTTCAGATTTCGATGCTCTTTCCTCTTGGAGTTATAGCGGTCACACAGACCCATAAACACACCCTTTTATTATTATAGATGAACCTGGTGAGAGGTAATCAAAAGGCATTCAGCTTTCTTATATTCATATAATTTAAGGTATTTTTGTAACGTGAGTCTCAAATCAGATGTTGACTGATATAACTGAGAAACCTGCGGACAAAAATGAAAAATATAAGGGGCAACAGGCTTTTTTCTTTCTGTTCTCAACTTTATTTTTGTTTCAATGAAGTGAAGAAAATCATATTAGCTAATCAAATATAAAATTATTTCTGATTATTGCTGTTCATATAAGCACTTAGTTTTACATATATAATATACAAGGCATATTAATTGAGAAAGTTTCTTCTATTCGCAAATTTTAAATTATTAGTGATGAGAAAATGAGAGCACACCAAAGTTGATGAACCTGTTGGTTGTAGAATCGTAAAGGACATTATTGGAATAGCAGCATGGTCTAGTGTTGCGTAACAGTATCGTGATAAATGAAAACGGCGGTTGTGTAAACGGATTGGAAGTTATGCTTTATAGTGCCCTTATTTTTCATGTAAGAAATAATAAAATGGTGCTGGTAGTTAGAATTAAGGTAAGTTTATTTGATTTTATTTAGTGAGATAAGATAATTATTTATACAATGGAAGAAATTGTATACAGAATGTGTGATCATAAACCTGTTACATTTACAATTACACTTTTACAGTTGCGATTTATAATTCGTTACTAATATCATTAATTACATGGCACTGCGGTACTACTAGTGAAAAGGAAATCTTCTAATTCCTATGTTGAATTTGAAACCACTGAATAACATATTCCTTGCATATGTAAGCTATGCTGAAAATAAGTGTTATGTAGAGCATCATATTTGGCTTATGACTGTATGATATGAATTTTTTTAATAACTCCACTATAACTTGGCTATTAGTAATAATTGCTAATCAATTAAACGATGGCTTTCGTTAATTTATAGGGTGCTGTCAATTAATCATTTAGTACAATTTCCTTCAAGTTTAACTGTGGTGTGTACAAGCAAAAGAAAATCATTGGTGGTGGGTGCTGCCAGCCAGTTGCCTCTTTCCTAGTCAGCATTTAAACATTAGTTGTTAATGATACTGGCAGATAGTTTTATTAGTTTTGCCATAACAAAAGAAGGGCAAGCAACTTTGGTGGTAATATTTCAATTACTTTGATAATTGGAATATTCAAAGATAGTAATAATTAAAAACTAATTTCTATTGGTTGCTTATCTTCATGAAAATCATCTGAATTATAATTCTGATTAACTCTCTCAACTCTAAGCTCCATTCCAGACATGATTTAATTTAGTGGTTACATGTCTTAGTGTGCATATATCTTTTATTTTACTTATGATCCACTAAATGATAGTATTATGATGTATTATCCAAGTTTTTGTTTGCCACTGTCCTGTTGCTTTATTTATTCGCATGGCCTACACATTCTTCCAGGAATAGATTATTCATGTGACTTGACCAGTTAGTTATAGTAACCCATCCCTGTGACTCTCTTATTTCTTAACTTTCTTGTTTCTACTGTAAATGCTAATTTTTACATCTTTCTTTTCTTATAAAAATCAAATAAATGAAATTGAGAAATAAATGCACAAATTATTTTATCATACTCTTTTTAATAAAATTTTGTTGATTTTTAAATTTTGAAGCAGCATTTATGTTTTTTCTTATGTATTATACATTTTATGGTAACTACAAGTTCCATGTTAGTATATTCTTTTTAATTGTCTTGCCCCTTTGATCTTAACAGTTCTTCACTCATGTATTGTGTTCATTCATTAAAACTTAGAAACACACATATAGTGAAACAACAAATTCTAATGTACTTAATTAAATTTCATCGCTTTCTAATATTTTAACTGTTTTGCCTAGTTTTATATAATATATTTATGTTGAGTTACAGATCTACTGTATATCCCCATTGATATCAAAACATGGTAGGTGTTAATATGGAATTTAACCTTCTGCATATTTCCGAGTATAACATTAGAAAATAATGTACACATATAACTTAATTATTTTTAATTTCCATTCTGTGTACATTTCCATGTGCATTGATTAGATGTTTATGCAGTATGAAAAAAGTATTTATATTAGTAGTAAGTGATTGAAGTTGTAAAAATACCTGTTAAAAATTGACATTACTTAAAGGTGGTCAGATGGCAACATTGGATGTTATGAAAATGTGGTATGGGTGATTAAGTACAATATTTTTTACTTTTAGTAACCACCCGACTCCCCCCCCCCCCAAATAAAATAAAATAAAGATGCATGCTGTTTTTCCTAGAAGCTACCTCTCCCAAAAGGTTTTTAGCTCATTTCATATTTTTTTTATATGAATGCAGAAGCCTAGTTTGTCAAGGTGGTGAATGAGTGTTTTATTTCTCACAAGTATGTACATTCTTACTGATAAAAAGAAGAATAGGTGTTTAAAGGAATGTTGATTGTGATGCTATTTTTTTCTTGTTTATTTTTTAACTAATATGTAGTAACAGTTGTGAAATAGTGAGGCATTCATGAGAATTGTTCACATGTAACCATAGAGTTAAGAAATTTTGAATGCTGAGGTCTTCTTGGCAACGGAAAGGGAAGCTGCCTGCAAATTGAAAATATTACACTTGAAACATTTCTTCTCTACATTTCTTGGCAACTTTTAAACCATGTGAATGCATCTGTTTCTAATACCAGACTGTTGGGCTGTTCTACAATATGACATTCACAAGTTATAGGCAGATACCAATGATGAAATTATAGATTCTGGTTCACATTATTGTCCTAATACCTAACATCTTATTGTGGATTTGAAGGCTGGGAAATTGTATCTTAAATTAAATGTCATACAGTGGCAAAGAAGTGTATGGAAATAAAATGTGGTGTGTAATTCACAGGGAAGTAGAAAGAAATTAGTTTTATTTGAAAAGACAGCATATTATATGCAAATGTTTTTTTTTTAAGAGTACTCTGATATGCATACAAGGATTAGTGTGTTACAACAAATGAAAATAATAAGGTAAATATTTGGGAAGTCCTAAATAAGCCTCCAGTTGCATGTGAAAAAATCGGATGTGTTATTTTTAGCACAATGCATAAGAAAAACTGTTTGTTTGTTTAAATTCATATGTTCTGCATGTTCTGTAACATGCTGTTACATGGAAGCTATTTTTACCAAACTTGTTTGTGTACTTTAATGCTAAACTGTTAAAGAAACATAATAAGAAAGTCATACTCAAGTGTTATACACTTTAGAAATGGTGAGTTTGTTGTTGTTTTTATAACATTATTCATAACTAAATACAAGTTTTTGTAATTATGTTAAATAGATACTAAAGTGAGGAAGTAAAGGATTCACATTTAATTGAAGAACTTGTGATGTGCACAAGCAAGATTAATGTGAGATTGAAGAAAGAAAAGCTGCAGTAGCACTGTTAGCTCTTGGAGAAACCGTGGAAGAACTTGGAAAGTGGCTGAAAACTTTATTATTACCACAGCATAATACTTTTATTTCAAGGGAAAATTTAAGTTGTCACATCTGTTAAGAAAAAATAAGTCAAATAAGAATTAATGGTAGGCTTGAGTCCAACACCTGACTTTGATTTTTCAGTATTTAGTTTGATCAAGCACAGCACAACCCAACTTGGCTCCAAGAGAGTGTGAGGGAGAATTGAGAGTGAGTGAGCTAACATACTATGTGTTGCTGCCTATACTGCATCTAAGTGGGTGAACTGCCTGCATCATGTTGAGTTGGTGACAACAAAAAATGCAGAGTAAGTTTTATACAATTTGATAATGATTGATATTTTAGTGAATATAATTTTTTATTAGAAAATTAATAGAGTCTAATAATACAGAAGTGCTTATGGAACCTTTCTTGATAGTTGTTGATGATAATGATATGCCCCTTGCTGCAGTGATATAAAGGAAAATAATAATAAGGCAATTTGATTGGCAGCAAGGTTTTTCTAGGTTTTTTTTTTTTTTTTTACTATAGAAGTTATTTGAATCCTGGGTATAATATAGAAATCTTTGTTTATATCAGGATGACTTTGTTGTATGGGATTTTTACATTTCCAAGTTCATTGCTAATTGATGCCATTTATTTCTGTTATATTATCTTACCTTGAACCATTTAAAATTAAACTGTAATTATGTCTTTACTTTACATACTGGAGGTTATTTTTTTATTATAATAAAAATGTTTTTAGTAATATTACTGAGACTTTGGAATCCCGTGTGGAGTTGTGTGGCAGTACACTACCCATTTTTCTTTGGTCAGTCATTTGTCACATTCTGAGCCTATACATGCCCCTATTACTGTTTCCTGTCCAGCTCGTTCTCAGCCTTTACCTGTTCATCCCTCCAGGAGTTCCTCATCTCATATTATTTGATGCAGGTGGACAAATACCAACAGTAGCGGTGACTACCCAGTGGGGGCTCACTTGTCCAATTTTGTTCCCCTTTGGTGACCTTTCACCACACATCTGTGGATTATTTGGGTTTTATCCAAGGGACTTAGCATCCACTTCCTTTCCCCTACTCCATTGTCTTGAGTACCCATATATTTCAATTGCCTCGGGATCCTACCACCAGTCAGGGTCTGTCCGAGGTGGTACAAGATCTTCTCTCCCAGCAAGCCATGGAACCTGTCAATCATCCTTCTCTGGGTTTTTATTCCAGGCTGTTTGTAGTACCCAAGAAAACCAGAGACTGGTGGCCTGTGAATGATTTGTCCCACCTCAATCAATTTTGGTTCTACCCGATTTACCATGGAGTCTTTTCTCACCCTCAGGTGGGCTTTTTCTCCAGGTTTGTGGATGACCAAGGTAGATGATGAATGCTTACCTGCATATCCTGATATCTCATCACTTGAAGTGCTCAAGGGTTGTGCTTCCATCATTACATGGATGACTGGCTTCTCTTAGCTCGTTCTTAACAGGAGTCTGCCCATCACACTCATCATCTGATCCTGGAGGCAGCTGATGTGGGCAGATTAATCAAATTGGAGAAGTCATTCCTTATACCTACCCAATATCTTGACCATTCGGGTGGGTTTTTTCAACACTCATCTCAGTTGGCTTATCTCAATCATCGTTCTCATTCCCTTTGTGGTCAGACCTTAGATCTTCTTTTTCGGGTCCACATGCTTGGTATTCATATCATTGTGTGTCATGTTCTGGGTGCATTCAATCCCATCCAGACAAAGTTTATCCAACAGAGTGGTTTCTCAATCTTGTTTACCAGTGGCTATGCCTTCAGTGGGGTACTCCTCACCTGGATGCATTTGCCACATTTTTCAATTTACCTCTGTTTTGGTCTCCGGTTCCTGATCCTCTTGCTCTGGCTGTCGATGCTTTCAGTCAAGATTGGAGCAACAAACACCACCGTTGGTGTTTGGGTCAGGAATTTTCACCCATTAGTCTCTTTCTTAGTTCCTCATATTGTGGATTTATTCATGAGGCTTTTTAAACAAGGGTTTTTCTGTCGTTTCGATTGCTGGTTATTGGGCTGCTTTATCCCAAACTTTCCCTTTTTCCTTGTACCATAAAGATTGTTACATGATCTTGTTAATAGTTGAGAAAAAGAAAATTTCCATTAGACAGTATTAGAATAAAGAGGTAATGGATGAGTCATTGTAAAATATGCTAATTGCTCAGTGAAAAAAAAAAGTTCATTTGCAAAAAAATACTTTAATTTTCTAATGCAAAACAAATAGAATTGTTCAACTGCATCCTTAATTATAGTTTTTAAAGGTTAATGCAATCTTTTCACCCCATTCATAGTTAGTTAATAGTGTTGGGTGTTACAACACTACAATGGTATAAATTAATCCTTTCATGAAAGTGAATAAATAGCCTATTAGTGTAGTTATAAGTAAACTATTTTTTGTAAGCAGTAATGATTTATAAACAAAGTGTTGATTGACAGGCTATTTTAATAATTATTTAATGCACGCCTGAGTTGATAACATTGGATTTGGATTGTCTTGTTCCTTGCAGTGAGCACAGTGCAGATAGCTCATTGTGCAATTTTGTACTAAAACAGAAAAACTGTATCTTTATCATATTTAGATATTGTCATAGTAAATAATCTATTTAAAATATTGTTGTAGCTCAGCATTTTTTAATGTCTGTAGGTACCTTATAATTTTTTCATATAATTATCAATAATGTCTGATTAAAGCAGGCTACATAGGTCAAAACAAGTATTTAGTAAATAATGCAGCTAATTGAATGTACAAGTTAGGCTATCATTTGTCTCAGTAAAAGCTGGTAGTGTACTTATAATTAGTCACTGAATATTGATTGTCTATAGCTATACATACACTAAAGTTATGTAGAATTAGGTAAAATTTACTTATTTTATTTGTATGTAAATGAAATATTGTATTTTTTTATGTTTTTAAATTGTTTTAAAAGTATTACAAGTGATGTTTTTGTCACTAGGAAGTAATGTTCATCAAAAGTGCAACTCAGTGTGCCCTTCAAATTGGACAAAAGCTCTTTGGTCGATATCTGTTGGTAACCAATGCTACAATTTCTGCGTGCATGGGTGCAACAGGGGACACTATTCAACAACATTATGACATTCTGACAGATCAGAAAGAAAGCTGGCACTTGTGGAGAACACAACATATGACAGTGGCAGGGCTTACCACTGGCATCATTACTCATTACTGGTATATTTTTTTAGACAGAGCTTTGCCTGGGTCTTGTTTGAGAACTGTTGTCAAGAAGGTTTTATATGACCAGGTTTTCTTTTCTCCTGTAAATCTCGCTGTCTACTTTGGAACATTAGGAGTTTTAGAAGGATCTCAATCTGAAGCTGTGAAAGAAGAACTCTTCCACAAAGGTGCTCAGATTTATTTAGTAGAATGGATTGTGTGGCCACCAGCACAAATGTTGAATTTTTATCTACTTCCAACAAGATTCCGGGTTGCTTTTGATAACATAGTTTCATTAGGTTTTGACATATACTCTCCTTATGTGAAGTACAAAGAAAGGATAAAAACTGAAAAATAAAGTGCAAATGTTAGATAAATATAGTTCCAACTGCATGTGTAATATGTAGCATTTTTCAGTCTTTTTGTTTTGTTTTCTATGTAAGCATAGTTTTGTTTTTGTTCTTAATAAATGCAGATAATGCCATTTTGAACAGTACTTTAGTTACATTAAAGAGAAATTATTGCTGGTTGCCTGGCAATGTGAAGTGCTAGATCCTTAGAAATTGAATCATAAAGGAAGTATAGTTGTTATAGTATTTTCCTAGGTACTAAGATTAATATCATTAACTTAATAAAGTTGTTTTTAAAAGCATTATATAATTTTAGGACATTTATGTTAACATCTTACAGTCATTACAGGTCTACATAGTTTCACTGTACTGTTTTAAACAGTAATGTGTTAATAAAAGGGGTATTTACTTTTTTTAGATCAGTTCTTTTTCTTTCTGTGTAAAGGCAAGGTTAGAAATGTAACCATAACTACATCGTGTGTGTGATATATGTATTGCAGTATAAACATGTAAATATGTTTTTCCTTTCTCATTTGCTGTGATCATTAAATCTAAAATATGGGTTTGATGATATCACAGTCATGGTAACAAAATCCTCATGTTTACAAAAAAAAAAGAAGATCTTAAGCCACGTTGCATCATTTAAATCTAATTTATTTTACTTCTAAGATTTTAAAACAAAAAGAAAATACAGTTAAATGTGGAAAAAATAGCTGCAAGCTTACATTACCAATTTAAAAGCCATCAACTTCAATAAAATAATGTTCTTTTCAATATTTCTGTATAAAAAACCAATCATGTTTTGTCTTCCATTATGTTTTTGCTGGTAATTACACCCACTGTTGCACTAGAACTTTCATCTGTTGTGAAGTCTGATAAACACAACTAAGCACTTTTTATTTTACATTCCTCAATTGTCATGTGTGTCTTCCAGTTTGACAGTGATAAAATTAAAGTGATATAACACTAAAGTAAATTTTAAATTATAATATGTTAACACAATGTCTGCAAATACAGTAAAGAATCTATGCAAAAACACATCACTTTACAGCAGTTATCAACTATTCATTTTACTCTGTATTGCTGATTTAGTGATAGTTTGTGGTAGAGGAGAGTAAATATCAGATACAATATACATGACTACTGAAAAAAACTCTACATAAGCATTTTGGAGACTCTAGAAGTTATGCAAATGCATTATTCAAACTCTATGATAGACAAAAGTGTTTTTATTATTCAAAATGAAACATCACCTTGCACTCTGAGCCTGAGTCAGACTGACATCATCAATTCACAGACATTTTTCTAAAAGATTGACATATTTTGTATATATATATATATATATATATATATATATATATATAT